CCCCCTCCCTGAGACAGTAGACAATCTGCTAGAGTTTATACATGTGCAATCGTTCTCATCTATTTCTAAAGTACATCCTCGATTTCCAGCTCTATCTCCCTTTAATGTGTTGACTTCCCTTATTAGAATGGAAACTAGCAGGGTCTGTCTTGCTTATATTTGTATCCTCCAATGCTTAGTACCTGGTACATAAATACTAAGCATTTAATGATTTTTTCCCCTGTCAGTCTGCCAGAAATTAGGTTTAGACCAACTTCTTACATTATATACCTCAAACTTTAAATGGATGTTCAATCTGAATATTAAAGGTCATACCATAACAAAATTAGAAGAAAATCAGATCACATACCTTTCACAGCTAGGACCGGGGAAAATTCTTAACCAAAAAAAGGGGGGGTGGAGATCACACAAAGTGATTTAGAAAGCTTCAGTTTCATGACATTAAAAAATATTTTTGTGTGAGCAAAATTAAAGAAACAAAAATATTGTTGAAATAACAAGGATGTTGCTATTTGGGGGAAACATCTTTGTATTCAGTATCTCAGAAAAAGGCCTGATACCCAGGACATATGTGTATAGGAACTAACAAAAATATATAGAATGAAATATTCCTCAATCAATAAGTGGTCAAATGATAGCAATAAATAGTTCGCAAAACAAGAATTGCAAATGATTAACAATTGATAGGAAAGATAGCTCCAAATTACTAATAATACAAATGCAAATTAAAACAATACTTCACACCTCGCTAATTGGGAATGGTGTTGGAGAGGTTGTGGAAAGGCAGGCACACTGCACTGTTGATAGAGCTGTGAATTGTACTAATCATTCTGAAAAGCAATGTGGAATTATGCTAAAAAAAAAAAAAGCCACTAAAATACCTCTTCAAATTGACTCAGAAATCCCATTGCTAGGAATATTCTCCAAGGGGGTAAATAATTAAAAAAAGAAGAGCTCACATACACCAAAATATTTATAGCCCCACTTTTTGTAACAGTAAAGAACAGAAAACAAAGTAGTTGTTCATCAACTAGGAAACGACAGAATAAACTATAGTACTTGAATGCTATGGAGCATTACTGTGCCATAAGAAATAAAGAAATGAAGAATACAGAGAAGCCTTGGCAAAATTTTCTATATTTCTATATTTCTATTATTTTTTATTATATTTATATTTATATATGATTCAAAATTAAGTAAGCTGGGCCAGGAAAATAATATAGATTATCCACTATAAATGGAAAGAATGTTCTTACTGACCAAAAAAAAAAAACAAACCCTGAAAACTTCAATTTTAATGATCAAATTTGGTCCGAAAAAAGACTTACAGTTTTGGGGTTTTTTTTGGAGGCAGATGGGGTTCAGTTTCTTGTCCGAGATCACACAGCTAGTATCTGAGGCTGGATTTGAACTCGGGTCCTGCTGACTTCAAGGCTAGTGCTCTCTATTCACTGTGCCACCTAGCTCCCCTGACTCATAGATTCTTAAAGGTTCTACTAGTGGAGCACAATCTCTAACAGTTTGTATTAAGCAAGAAAGGCTTCAGGTATTGGTTTGGTATCTGTCAAAAAAAAACAGCTTCTTTGGAGAGGCTCTGCTCTAGAAATTTGACTTGGGGGGGTGTGATTACTGTATCTTTTTAGAAAAAAAAACAACTGCACTTTGACCCAGTAATAACACTTATAGAGCTGTGTCCCAAAGAGATCATACAAATGGAAAAAGAACCCACACGTACAAAAATATTTTTAGTAGCTCTTTCTGTGGTGGCAAAGAATTGGAAATTGAGAGAATGCCCATCAATTGGGGAATGACTGAACAACTGGGGTATATGAATGTAATGGAATACTATTGTACTATAAGAAATGATGAGCAGGAAACTTCAGAAAAACCTGGAAAGACTTGTATGAACTGATGCTGAGTGAAGTGATCAGAACCAGGAGAATTTTGTACACAGTAACAGCTATATTGTGCGATGACTAACTTTGATAGACTTAGCTCTTCTCAGCAATTCAAGGATCTAAGACATTTCCAGAAGTCTCATGATGGAAAATGCTTTCCACATCCAGAGAAAGAACTATGGAGCTTGAATGTATATTAAAGCATACTATTTGCTCTTTTTTTGTTTCTTTCTGGTGGTTCCTCCTATTGGTTCTAATTCATCCTTACAACATGACTAATATGAAAATATGTTTAATAAGAATGTATATGTAGAGCCTTAATCAGATTATATGCCCTCTTAGGGGAGGAGGGGGAGAAAATTTAAAATTCAAAAGAGTATGGAAGTGATTGTTGAAAACTAAAAATAAATTAATTTTAAAAAAGAAAAAAAACTATATGCAATTAAATCTTAATGTTCATCCTAATGTGTAGGAAAATGGGGTTTTCTCCATAACCAGTAAATGTTTTTCATTTCAACCTTTGTTGATGATTTCCTTGAAATTGATCAGACAGTCATTTCCCAATTGATAAATGGTCAAAGGATATGAACAGGCAGTTCTCAGATGTAGAAATTAAAGCCATCTATAGTCATATGAAAAAATACTGTAAATCACTATTGATTAGAGAAATGCAAATCACAGCAATTCTGAGGTACCACTTCACACCTATCAGGTTGACCAAGATGACAAAACAAGAAATTGATAAATGTTGGAGAAGATGTGGGAAAATTGGAACGCTAATGTATTGTTGGTGGAGTTGTGAACTGATCCAACCGTTTTGGAGAACAATTTGGAACTATGTCCAAAGGGCTCTAAAAATGTGCATACCCTTTGACCCAGCAATAGCACTTCTAGGGCTATATCCCAAAGAGATCATACAAATGGGAAAAGGACCCATATGTACAAAGATATTCATCGCAGCTCTTTTTGTGGTGGCAAAGAATTGGAAATTGAGAGGATGCCCATCAATTGGGGAATGGCTGAACAAGTTGTGGTATATGAATGTAATGAAATACTATTGTGCTATGAGAAATGATGAACAGGCTGACTTCAGAAAAACCTGGAAAGACTTGTATGAACTGATGCTGAGTGAAGTAATCAGAACCAGGAGAATGTTGTACACAGTAACAGCTACATTGTGCAATAACTTTGATAGACTTAGTGCTTCTCAGCAATGCAAGGATCTAAGACATCTCCAAAAGTCTCATGATAGAAAATGCTTTCCACATCCAGAGAAAGAACTATGGAGTTATGGAAAGACTTGTATGGTCTGATACTGAGTGAAGTGAGCCTAACACAATAACAGCCACGTTGTGCAATGACTAATATTGATAAACTTAACCCTTCCCAGAAACAGAAGGATCTAAGACATCTCCGAAGGCCTCGTGATGGAAAATACTATCCACATCCAAAGAAAGAACTATGGAATTTGAATGCAGATCGAAGCATACTATTTGCTATTTTTTTTCTTTTCTGTTGAGTTTTGTTTTCTCTTTCTGGTGGTTCCTCCTATTGGTTCTAATTTTTACTTACAACATCACTAATGTGAAAATATATTTAATAGGAATGTATATGTATAGCCTATATCAGATTGTGTGCCGTCTTGGGGAGGATGGTGGGGAGGGAGGGGGAGAAAAATTTTAAACTCAAAAGCATATGGAAGTGATTGTTGATAAATCAAAATAAATTAATTAAAAAAAAGAAATTGATCAAACAAACTTAAGCCTTATTACATATAATCTAGTGAGCCTGTTCAGTGATTTCAGAGTAAACATTCTAAATTTCATTTCCCACTTTACAGTAATAGTTGATAGATATTTTAAGCACCTTTTGCTCCCTTTTCTGCCACTGTCATTGTGTAGGTGGAAGGGAACCTGCACAGGGCTAAGTGTTGTTTCTCATTTTTACGTACTTAATGGTATACTGCAGCTAGAAAATGAAAACATTCATTCCCTGGTGTCCAGTCTTCTAGTGATGAACCAGGTGTCTCCATGATTAACTAGGCATGGTCATTTAGGCACAGGCACACAGTCTGTCCCTGGTATTGGTATTTAGTGGTTCCACCTTAGTTGGACTCTGCTAGAATTTAAGCAAAGCCTACAGGGAACCCAGGTTTGCTTCAGTAATACAAGGAAGCATGGAAGAAAGACTTTTAAGTAGTGCATAGAAGGTGTAGGAAGTTGGGCTAAACTATCTGTACCAATCCTGCAACATTTTCTGAGAGCTCTGTTTTTATTTTGGCTATTTATTGAATATTCAATATTGTGTATTTTCTCGTCTTCCCTCCCAAAATCTAAAGTTTAAAAAAAAAAAACCTCAATTCTTTGGGAGTCTGAGGAATTGATCTCAGCTGTTTATGTTTTTACCTTACCCTTTTGTAAGAGATTATGCTAAATTTTGTTCCATTGTGATTTTATTTATATTACTAGATATTTGATTAAGCTTTTCTTGATTTCTGTCCTAATGTTTAGCATTAGGTAGAGAAAGATTTTAAAAATTTCTTGCAAAATCTAAAATCTAGTTAAATTGGGAGACACTGTGTTAGCTGTAACAGAGAAATGATAGAAATGAAAAACGGTCTCTGCCCTAAAGTAAATTATTTTCTACTGACAGATACAGGATATGCACAGGTTAAATATAAGATAAGTTGCAGAGAAAGAAAGCACTAACAATTGGAGTGATCAAGAAAGGCTTTACAAATAGTTTGACTTAAATCTAATTTAAAGACTTTCATTAATTTTGACTGATGTGTCTATAGCCTATAGATAGAGCAACAGCCACATGTTATTTAATGTTTGGCAATAAATACCATTTAACTATAATTCTACTCTAGTATGTTATTTGATATCAGATAACTGTTGAAGTTATAACCAAGAGAAATAAGATCCTGATAGCAAAATTAACCTAGATTGAAATTTGGTCAAGAAACTGAGGTTACATACCATTTCACAATTCTTATAGACTTGTTGGTTACCTTATTTTTCTCCCCTCAACCCTAAAAAAAAAAAATGGAGATTTTTCCATTAACCTTTCATTGCTACTTTCTGTTGAACTGTGTTTCAGGTATATTTAAAGGCTCCAATGATTCTAAATGGAGTTTGTGTCATCTGGAAAGGCTGGATTGATCTACAGAGACTGGATGGTATGGGTTGCTTGGAATTTGATGAAGAACGAGCCCAGGTAGGGTCATTTCAGACTTAGCAAGAAGTTGATTGCTATTGTTGTTGTGTTTATTTTAAATTTTGTTCTTATGAATTCAGTCTCAACATAATGGTATAATGGAAAAAAAAACATTGTACTTTGAGACACCTAGAATTGAATTGTAGTACTGATAATAGTTGTTATGTGACCATGCGCAAGCTTATTAACCACTCTCTATAAAATGGAGGTATTTGCCCTACCCTCTTCACAAGATCATTCATTATAGGGATAGCACTTTGTAAACTTAGGAGTACTATGTAAAGGTGAGTAACTATTTTATTAATACTTTGCAAAACCCTAAAACGTACAAATGTGTGTTGTTGTTTGGCTTGTGCCATGTTCAGTGGTTGTAAACATTGAAAGTTTTTGCTTTTATCTGAACTGATCAAAATAAGGAAGAACACACACACGCACACACACAGAGTTGGATACAGAAAGACCTTTCAGTAATCTGGGATATAGGAGAGGAAAAGGTGAGGGGGAGAGGGGGATTAGAGAAGGAGGAGATTAAGGGAGGGATTGGTCATAAGCAAAACAAGCTGAAAAGGTGTACAAAATATTTATAACTTTTTGAGGTGGCAAGGGATGGGAATCTGAGAAAAGAACCATAAATTGGGGAATGGCTGAATAAATTATGATATTATAAATGTGATGGGACACTGTTATGCTGAACTCTTACCAGCATAATGACCAACCAGGTTTTCGAAAGATTAATGATAAAAAAAAATACCTCCTGATAGCAAGGTAAAGGACTTAAAATGTAGAATGAGACAGTTAATTTGGGGAGAAGGGGAAAGTGGTTGGGAATGTGGACAGTGGACATTGGACTCCTGACTCCAGGGCTGGTGCTCTACCTACTGCACCACCCAGCTGCCCCCCCATTTATTTTATTTTATTTTTTAAAAAATATTTTATCCGTTTTGATCAGCCAAGATCTGCCTTCTCACCCTCCCATCGCTCTAATCCCTGCTCCCCAAATGGGAAAACAAGGAGAAAAGAAAACATTACAAACGTGTATAGTTAATTAAAACAAATTTCCATTGTCTGCAATCCATTTTGCATTTCATAATGTTCTTTATCTCCTGTTTGGTCATGAATTCTTCTGTTCTCCATAAATCTGATAGGTAAACTATTGCTTGCTCCCTCAGCTAATTTACTTATTCAGTGCCATACCAATCAAACTACCAAAAAATTATTTTATAGAGCTAGAAAAAATAATAACAAGATTCATTTGGAATAACAAAAAGTCCAGAACATCAAGAAAACTAATGTAAAGAAATGCTGCGGAAGGTGGCCTGGCCATTCCAGATCTTAAATTGTATTATAAAGTAGCAATCATCAAAACTACTCGTTACTGGCTAAGAACTAGAGTTGTGGATCAGTGGAATAGGTTAGGTATGCAAGACACAGTAGTCAATGACTATAGTCATCTACCATTTGATAAACCCAAAGACCCCAACTTCTGGGATAGGAACTCAGTATTTGACAAAAACTGCTGGGAAAACTGGAAAAGAGTATGGCAGAAACTAGGCATAGACCAAAATCTTACACCATATACCACAATAAAGTCAAAATGGGTTCATGATTTAAATATGATGGCTAATACTGTAAGGAAACTGGGAGAGCAAGGAATAGTTTACCTGTCAGATTTATGGAGAACAGAAGAATTCATGACCAAACAGGAGATAGAGAACATTATGAAATGCAAAATGGATAATTTTGATTACATTAAATTGAAAAGTTTTCACACAAACAAAGCCAATGAAACCAAGATTAGGAGGGAAGCAGAAAACTGGGAAAGAATTTTTACAACCAGTTTCTCTGATAAGGGCCTCATTTCTAAAATATATAGAGAATTAAGTCAAATTTATAAGAATACAAGTCATTCCCCAGTTGATAAATGGTCAAAGCATATGAGTAGGCAGTTTTCAGATGAAGAAATTAAAGCCATCTATAGTCATATAAAAAAATGCCCTAAATCACTGTTGATTAGAGGGAATGCAAATTAAAACTACTCTGAGGTACCACTTCACACCTACCTGATTGGCTAATATGATAAAAAAGGAAAGAGATAAATATTGAAGAAGATGTGGGAAAATTGGAACACTAATGTATTGTTGGTGGAGTTTTGAAATGATCCAACCATTTTGGAAAGCAATTTGGAACTATGCTCAAAGGGCTATAAAAATGTGCATAGTCTTTGACCCAGCAATAACATTTCTAGGGCTGTATCTCAAAGAGATCATACAAATGGGAAAATGACCCATGTGTACGAAAATATTTATAGCAGCTCTTTCTGTGGTGGCAAAGAATTGGAAATTGAAAAAAACAATTTAGAAAAGGAATTGGAAATTGAGGGATGCCCATCAATTGGGGAATGACTGAACAAGTTGTGGTATATGAATGTAATGGAATAATATTGTGCTGTAAGAAATGATGAGCAGGCAAACTTCAGAAAAACCTGGAAAGACTTGTATGGACTGATGCTGAGTGAAGTGATCAGAACCAGGAGAATGTTGTACACAGTAACAGCCACATTGTGCAATGACTTTGATAGACTTAGCTCTTCTCAGCAATGCAAGGATCTAAGACATCTCCAAAAGTCTCATGATGGAAAATACTTTCCACATCCAGAGAAAGAACTATGGAGTTTGAATGTATATTAAAGCATACTATTTGCTCTTTTTTTTCCTGTTTTTTCTTTTTTTGTTTCTTTCTGGTGGTTCCTCCTATTGGTTCTAATTTGTCCTTACAACATGACTAATGTGGAAATAGTTTAATAGGAATGTATATGTAGAGTCTATATCAGATTGTATGCTCTCTTGGGGAGGAAGGGGGAGAAAAATTTAAAACTCAAAAGTGTATGTAAGTGATTGTTGAAAACTAAAAATAAATCAAGAAAAAAGAAAAAAACAGTATAGGAGATAAATAAATAAGTGAATAAAAAAAATAAAATTTCTAAGATTCATACCTCACTACAAGTTAACAAACATTAAGTACCTGCTCTGTGCTAGGCCCTGTGATAAGCACTGAGGAGCCAAAAAAAGGGCAAAAAAGTCCCTGCTCTCAACCAACCAACATCCTATTGGAAGAGACAACATGCACAAACTATGTGCAAACAAGATAGATACAAGATATACTGGAGAAAATCTCAGGGGGAAGGCATTAATATTAAGTTGTATAAGGAGAGGCCTCTTGCAAAAGATGGAATTTTAACTGAGACTTCAAGGAAGCCAGGTGTAGCAGGGGTGAGGAGTGAAATAATTCCACACATTGAGGGGACAACCAGTGAAAATACGTACTTGAGAAATTAGGCTTAGACATATTTTACCATCCATTCTAAATGGATATGTAACCTTAATACTGAAGATCATACATTAAAAAAATTAGAAGAGAAGCAATTTTTACAGCTATGGACAGCAGATACTTTCTTAACCAAACAAGGACTAGAGGTACTTAGAAAAGATTAGACAGACAGCTTTGATTATGTGAAACTAAAAGGCTTCTGTACAAACAAAATTAATGGACCTAGAATAAGAAGGGAAGCAGTTGATTGTGAAAAAAGATTTGCATTAAATTTCTCTGATAAGAGTTTGGTATCCAAGATATATAAACAAGTGACAGATTTATATGAAACCAAAAGCCATTCTCCAGTAGATAAGTGGTCAAAGGATATGAACAAAGAATTTTTAAATGAAGAATTACATACTATTAACCACCACATGAAAGAATACTCTAAATCACTAATAAGAAAAATGCAAATTAACATAAGCCTAAGGTTTCACCTCACACCCTGCAAATTGGCAAAGATAACAAAAGATGGAAATAATAATGTTAGAGAAAATAGGCACACTAATATATTGTTGGTGAATCAGTAGGACCATTTGGAATTATGCAGGTAAAGTGACTAAAATGCCCATTGTACCCTTTGACCCAGAAATTCCATTACTGGGCTTATAGCATACAAGGAGGCCATTCATAAGAAGTGCTCGTAGACATGGAAATATTTATAGGTGCACTTTTTGTGATAGCAAAGAATTGGAAACAAAACAGATGCCCACCAGTTGAGGAATGGCTAAACCAATTATGACACATGAATGTACTGTGACTGTGCATTCTTATATTGGAAGAAATGACAAATTTTGACAAATAGAAGTAGACAAAGATCCACATGAACTAATGCAGAGCAAAGTCAGTGCAACCAAGAAGACAATATACGTTCAGTGACTACAATGAAGAAAATGGAAAGCGCAACCAAAAAAAGCAAAAATGAATCACAAAACAGAATTATAAAGAACAAGCACAGCTCACAAGAAGAGATGAGACATTCCCACTCCACCACAAGTGTTTTGCATTCGCATGTGTTCTTAGCCTTTGTCAATGCATCAGCCAGGCTGATTTATTTTCTGTCTTTAAAAAAAATACTATTGGGGAAATTAGGTGGAGCAGTGGATAAAGCACTGGCCTTGGAGTCAGGAGGACCCGAGTTCAAATGCTGCCTCAGACACTTGATACTAGCTGTGCAACCCTGGGCAAGTCACTTAACCCTATTTATTTCATGGGATTCCTTTCTGGGAGGAGCAGGGGAGAAGTACTAGAAGAAACTATGGTAATATAAAACAATACATCAATAAAACTTTTTTTTTTTTTTTAAGAAAATGCATAGACTTGAGATCATTAAAAAGGATCTACCTGCACAAGTATTTATAGCAGTTCTTTTTGTGGTGGCAAAAAAATTGGAAATTGAGAGGTTGCCCATCAAATGGGGAATGGCTGAACAGGTTGTGGTATGTGAACATAATGGAGTACTGTCATGCTATAAGAAATGATGAGCAGGCAGATTTCAGAAAAAAGACTTACATGAACTGACACAAAGTGAAATGAGCAGAACCAGGAGAACACTGTGCACAGTAACAGCCACACTATGGGATGGTCAGCTGGATGACTTGGCTCTTCTCAGCGATGCAGTAATCCAGGACAGTCCCAGAGGACTCAAAGAAACGCTCGCCACGTCCAGATAGAGAACCGATGGGCTCTGAACGCAGATCAGAGTCCACGATCTTCACTTCTTGTGTGTGTGGAAATATGTTTTACATGATTGCCCATATATAATCTATGATAAATTGCTTACCGTTTTAGGAAGAGAAGGGAGAGGAGGAAGGAAGGAAGGAAGGAAGATTTAGAACTCAAAATTTTGTAAAAATGAATATTAGAATTGTCTTTACATATAATTGGGAAAAATACTGTTTTAAAAAAGAAAAGAAAATGCATAGCCTTGAGAGACAGTATCTTGTTTAAGCGCAGGCATGGTGGACAGTGTCACTGGATGTTAGAGTATGTGGAGGGGAGGGTAAGGTGTAAGAGGACTGCAAAAGTAGGAAGGGGCCAAGCGGTGGAGGGCTTTAAAAGTCAAACAAAGGGTTTTAGGAGTATTAGGGAACCACTGGAGTTTATTATTAAATAGACTTGGTAATATCAGACCTGCACTTGAGGAAGATCATTTTGATAGCTGAATGGTGGATGGACTCAAAAGGGGAAACATTTAAGGCAGGGAGACTAACCAGCAAGCTATTACAATAGTTAAGATGTGCAGTGGTGAGAGCCTACAGCAGAGTGGTGGTGGTGTCAGAGGAGAGAAGGGATCATATTCAAGAAATGTTGTGAAGGTAAAATTAACAGTCCTTGGCAACAGATTAGATATAGGGAGTGAGAAAGTGAGGAGGTAAAGATGATACCTAGGTTGGGAGACTAGGAGAATGATAGTTCACTTGACAGTAATAGGGGAAGTAGGAAAAGGGACGGGAGAAAAGATAGTGACTTAGGGGAGAAAGAGAATGAGTTCAGTGTTGGATATGTTGAGTTTAAGACTTCTGCAAGACATCTAGTTTGAAATGTCCAGTAGGCAGTTGGAGATGTAAGACAGGAAAGCAACAGGAGAGAGTTGGGCTGGATAAGTAGATATGAGAACAGCCCCGTGAGATAAGTAGCATGAGTATTATTTCCATTTTATGGATAAGAGAACTAAGTTCCAAAAGGTTACATGATCACACAACTAGTAGTTAACTCAGACAGTATTTGCATCTAGATGTCCTGAGTCGCCCCTGACATCCTGCCATTCATGTAGAAACATGAATATGCAAGGATTGTAAAGCTAGCATAAACTTAATCTACAAGCACTGATTGGTATTTGGAGAAACAGACTTTCATTTTGTGTATCAAAGGGAGTGGTGACAAGTAAACCTGTCGTTAAAGTTAATGTCGACCATTCACTGTAAGTCAAAGGAAGACTTCTCATTCCGTTGCTTTTTCTGACAGCAGGAGGATGCCTTGGCTCAGCAGGCCTTTGAAGAGGCTCGGAGAAGGACACGTGAATTTGAAGACAGAGACAGGTCTCATAGGGAGGAAATGGAGGTGAGAGTTTCACAGCTGCTGGCAGTAACTGGTTAGTACTTTACCCCAAACTCCCAGGGTGGGTTTGTAATGTTTGTTTGATAATGCATCAAAGAATTATTGGGGAATTATGTTGTGGGTTTTTTTTTTCTTTTAGTTTTAGAAAGTTTTTTTTACTCTAATTTTGAATTTAATTAAAACCTAAACCTGAATGCATGATATACTGAAAGAAAATACGTGAATTTAAGATTTGAATTAGGTGAAATCTGGTACTTTATCTCATTGTTATTTGTCTTTGTCAGTGAAAAGTCTTTGTCTGCAACATATTGTGTCTTTTCCAAAATTTGTGGTTTTAATATCCACTTTCCTTCAGTTATTTGAAAAAGTTACCTCTGCTTAAAATATGTTTTTAGATTAGCGTGGAACCATTGGGCAACAGTGCTATACTCTACTTTGTTCATCTTGTTTTTTGAAGATGCTTTAAGGAAAAAAAAAACTATGGCATAATAAAAAGAGCAAAGCCTTGGAGCTTGAGGGGTCTCTACTGCTTACTGCCTGTTTGACCACGGGCGAGTCATTTTCTCTCTCTTGACCTCTGTTTCATCTCTTGTAAATTGAAGGGGTAGGACAAGATGATCTCTCAGATCTCTTCAGAATCATTTGTATTATTCTGTTTGTTAATTTGTTACAGAAATTTTAGTGCTTAGCTTCTGAGAGAATAGATTTACCGACCACTACTTTGGATTTTGTTTATCATATCCATTTGTAATTCCGTTTTTATACAAATTCCATTATGTGAATATCTACTTTTACAAGATGTATAAGAGGTGACAATTTATTTTACGAAAAGGTTTTTCATTTTGCAAAGAAAATTCTTAATTTCTGAAGAGATTGAGTTCTTTCTCCTGTTGTATTTAACTTTCATTCATATAAACTTGTCAAGAATACATTTGTTGCATAAATAAGGTAGATTTGTGTTCAAAATGTATTAGATAACTAACATTTGAAATTAGCCTAAATATATGCCATTTTTATGAGTGACAAGCAAACAAATCAAATAGGCATATAATATTATATATGATGCCCCCAGGCAATTCATATTTCTGATTCTCTTTGTACCTAAGAACATGATGTGGACAGGAAAAAGAAATGCTTTGTTATGGTTTCCTCAAAATTTTCCAGTTTTTGTGATTGGGCTTTTGGCCCTATTTTCTTTAAGTACCTGTTTCTATAACAGTGAGCTTTCCTTTTAATTCTGAAAACATTTATTAAGCATCTGCTGAATGCCAGGTACTGTGGTAGGTTCTGGGGACACACAAACAAAAACAAAACCATCCCTTTCCTAAAAAAGCTTGTATTCTACTGGGAGAAGGGAATGCCAAATTATTCGAGGAGAGGCAGAGCATTGACAGCTGGGGAGGACCCGAGAAGCCTTTTTACAGAGGTTAACATCTGAGCTGATCATTCTAGGAAAGCTGAAGTTAAGGGTGGTTAACAGGTTAGAGCCAGATTGTGGAGGGCTTTAAATGAAAGGAACTAATAGTTTAGCTTTGTGGCAGTATGGAGCCACTAAAACTACTTGAGCAGGGTAATGACATGATCTGACCTGTGCTGTGTGGAGGTTTTATTGGAGAGAAACGACAAGCTGGGAAACGAGTCCATCATCACGAATTTGTTAAATGCTTCTTATGTGCCAAGAACTACGCTAAGTTCTGGGGATAAAAGTTAAAAGAGTCCCTGCTCTCAAAGTACTTCTGTTCCAATAGGGAAGCCAACATGAATATGTATACACATGACGTATTAAAAATAAACGTGAATTAATTATGGGAGAGAGGGTACCAGCAGCCAGGAGGATCAGGGCAGTTTTCATGTGCAAGGTAACATTTGACTGAGCCTTAAAGGAAGCCAGGGGAAAACTCAGAGGCAAAGGTGAGGAAGGAGAACGTTCCAGGCTTAGAGAAGATTCTGTGAAAAAGCTCAAAAACCAAAGATGGAGTGGTATTTGTCTAGAACAGTGAGGAAGCCAGGCTGTCAGAATGGAAGTTTGGCAAGGGGAGCAGTGTGTAAAAAGTCTGGAGAGGTAGGAGGGGGAAAAGATGTGAAGAGCTTTAAATGCCACACAGTTGTTTATAAGTGATCCTTAAAGCAATGAGATCAGTAAGGAGGTTGCTACCAATACAATACCAAGTAAATGATGATGCAGACCTGGACGAGGTGTGGCCATATATGAGTGGAAAAGAAAGGATAGTGGAATAGAATCAATAAGACTTAGCAACTGATTTAATGAGGGAGAAGAGGAAAGGAAAGATCAAGAATGAATCCAAGCTTCTGAACCTTCTGGAAGGATGGTAGTACCCTCAATAGAACCAGTCTGCACCTCCTATGCACCAGGCACTATGCTAGGTGCTCGGCTATAGTTACAAAGAATGAAATAAACCCTTCTCCTGTAAGGAGCTTGCACTCAAATGGGAGAGTGCAACAAGTACATACAACTGTATAAGAGCATAAATATTAAGTGAATAAATACAAATATATACAGAGTAGCTTCAGAGGGAGAGCACAAGTTGATGGGGAGGTCAGGAAAGGCTTCATGTAGAATATGGTGCCTCAGCTGCATCTTAAAGATAGACAGGGCCTCAGAAGGAGTGAATTCTAGGCATGAGGTATGGCCATTGCAAAGGCACTGAATCAAGAAATAGAGTGTCCTGTGTTAAGAACAGAGAGAAGACTACTGGAACTGGATTGCAGTTATGTCTAGAGGGACTTTTTTAGTGGGGAGTAAATTATGAATTCCATTTTGGGTATGTTGAGTTTGCAGTAGCCATGGGGTGTCTTAAGAGATTACTAGGAGGCAGTTGGTTGATAAATGACTGGATATTGGGAGAGGGAATAGTGTTGGATATTTAGATTTGGGAATCATCTCCATAGAGATGATAGTTGAACCCATAGAAGCTAATGAGTTCACCAAAGAAGAAAGTATATATTTTTTTAAAGCAGTCCTAGAAGAGAGCACTAAGGAACACCCACACTTAAGATTTAGGAATACATGAGGAATCAACAAAGGAATAATCAGCTAGAAGACCAAGAAGAAAACTGGGTCATGAAAACAAGGAAAGAAAGTATCAGAATTCCTGAGTGGGAAGGAACTTTAAAGGCCTTTTAGTCCAACCCAAAAGCCTTCTAGTCCAACCCACACAGGAATCCCTTCTAAAATATGCCTGACAGATGGCCCTAGAACCGTTCCTTGGAAATTTCCAGTAAGAGGGAACTCATTACCTTAAGTAGCTTTTCCTACTTTTGGATAGCCTAATTGTTAGGAAGTTTTCCATTATGTTGAGCCTAAATTGATATCTTCCCAACTTTCATTCATTGCTCTTGTTTCTGCCTTTTGGGATCAAAGGAGAAAAGTCATTGAACTCCATATTGGATTTCAAAAATGAGTTCAGTTCTTGACCCTACTACCAACGACCTGGGTGGCCATGGACATGTTATTTCTCTTTCCTTGGCCTCAGTTTCAAGTATAAAATGAGGGGGTTGGATTAGATGACATCTTAAAGCCTCTTATAGCTCTAAATCTGTGTATGATCCTAAACTAATTCCTCTTTGCCCTTCAGATATTTGAGACAGCTATCATTTCTCCCCCTAAGTCTTCTCCAGGCTACACATGCCCAGTTTTTTTGTTTTTTTTTTTTTCCCAGCAGATCCTTAAGTGGCATGAACTCAAGATTCTTTCCATCCTGGTAGCCCTTTTCTGGATGCTCTGGTTTATCAATGCCCTTCCTAAATGTGTCTCTCACATCAGTATAGTACACCAAATATGGCCTAATGTAGCAAAATACAGAACCACCATAACTCTTCTATTCCATGATATTGTGCTTTTCTTGATGTAAAGTAAGATTACATTAACTTTCTTGGCTGCCATATCATACTGTGACTAATTGAACTTGCAGTCCAGCAAAATCCCCAGTTCCTTTTCAAATGAACTGCTGATTTATCCATACATCCTACACTTACAATGTTGATTTTTAAAATCCAGATTAAGACTTTATTTCCTTCCCTATCCAGGAATTCAGCAATGTTTAATCCATGACTTCGAACCAAAGCTCTGGGTTTATAGAAATTAGGTTTAATCTTAGGGAAAGTGTCTCTTAAAAAGTGTCTTCTTTGCTCATGCCCCCACCAAAGGTCTTTTCTCTGAGAATTAAATTTATACCTTGTGTTTAATAGGTCCCTACCAAAAAGGTAAAAGCTCAGCAAAAACTCAAGACAAAAAATACATAAGATATAGGACAAACTGTATGTCACCCAACAAAACACAAAGTACTAATACCCAAGCCCATATAGTAAAAACATCACTCCTTCCTCTCCAGCAAGTCACATCTTCCCCAGGGAGCTGTTCACACATCTAGACTTGGAATGTTGTTGTACAGTTGATGCTTCGCCACAAGGGAAAAGTACTTGGGAAGAATAGAATCAACTCCTTTCCCTCTAGTGAGCCTAACTTCCCCAGGGCCCTATGGTCCTGCAGACTCAACAGTAGTACTTTGTGATTAAGGGCCCCCTCTGAAGGAGAAAACACTTTGGGTGGCTTCTGAGCCTTCTGAGGCCAATAATGTACAATATTAATGAAGGGCAAGGTCTGGACTGTCTCTTATTCTTCCTTGACTATAGCTCCTGCTTTATCCAAGAATTGCTGTCATGGTTTCTCAGGGACATGTGGTTCTTCATCTCCTAGGGTCCCATGGTTCCTTGTAGTAGCCCAGCAGACATGTATATTTCCCTTCCAGGAAACCGAGAGTCTGAGGACCCCATGTTCTCTGTGTCCCCTAATTTTGTGTCTACTCTCTTACAAAGTCCAATTCTTGAGGGTATGGCTCCAGTATATGATGACTTGGACATTTTTAGTGTGGTATCAGTGGCAAAGAATGCTCAGAAGTGTATTCATATCCCATTAATGCCAGAAAAAAGTCTTGAATGTAGTATCAGTATGGATGCTTATATCTTCCACTGGGAGACATTTTCATATGGAAACAAAGGCCTTATCTTTAAACA